TCGATCTCTTGACCTTGTGATCCACCCGCCTCAGCCTCCCAAAGTGCTGGGATTACAGGCGTGAGCCACCGCGCCCGGCCCCAATTTATTTTTAAAGATTATGTGAGCAAATACATCTGGGCAATGATATACTAAAATGGTAATAGTGCTTCTGTCTAGAGGGTCTTCTTTCTTATTTTCTATAGTGTTTCTCTATCAATCAAGGTTCTATCAGAGGGAAAGAATCAGTAGGATAGATGGATAGATAGATAAGTAGATAGGTAAATTATAAGTAATTGGCTGATACAGTAATGAAGGCAAGCTAGGAAAATCAAAATCCATAGGATAGGACAGGCGGTCAAAAAGAACAGGCTGGAGTTGAAGCTGCAGTTCACAGGCAGATTTCCTCTTCCTCAGGAAGACCTCAGTTCTACTCTTAATGCCTTTCAATTGATTGGATGAGATCTATCCATATCATCAAAGATAATCTCCTTTACTTAAAGACAAGTGATTATAAATATTAACCACATCTACAAACTACAGTAACCCCTAGATTTGTGTTTGACAGGATAACTAGTTACTACAGCCTAGCCCAGGTGACACATAAAACTGACCATTGCAATTCTCTTTTATATTATTTAATTGTTTTTACAATGAAGTCTGCATCACTTTTATTTATTTATTTTTTTGAGATGTGGTTTTGCCATCTTTCCCAGGCTGGCCCCAATACAGCGATCCTCCTGCCCCAGCCTCCCAAAGTACTGGAGTTAAAGGCATGAACCACCACATCTGGCCTGTATCACTTTTTTAATCAGCAAAAATAATATAGCTTCATTATTAAAAATTGTTTTAATACCATCGTACCTCTACTCTCACACTCAGTGATGAATGCTTGTTTTTCTTGGTATCCTCCAGAATGTGCAGCATGGTACCTTGTACCTTGTAGATGCCTATTGGATACTATATTCGTTTTCTATTACTGCTGTAGCCCATTCACACAAATTTAGTGCCTTAAAACAGTGGTCACCAACCTTTTTGGCATCAGAGATCAGTTTTGTGGAAGACAGGTTTTCCATGGACTGGGGTTGGGGGGATGGCTTCAGGGTGATTCAAGAGCATTACATTTATTGTGCACTTTATTTCTATTATGAATACATTGTAATATATAATGAAATAATTATACAACTCACCATAATGTAGAATCAGTGGGAGCCCTGCCTGAGCTTGTTTTCCTGCAACTAGACAGTCCCATTTGGGGGTGATGAGAGACAGTGACAGATCATCAGGCTTTAGATTCTTGTAAGGAGCATGCAACCTAGATCCCTTGCAAGTGCAGCTCACAATAGGCTTTGTGCTGCTATGAGAATCTAACGTCACTGCTGATCTGACAGGAGGCAGAGCTCAGGTGGTAATGCGAGTGATGGGGAGCAGCTGTAAATACAGAGGAAGCTTCTCTGGCTAGGAATGAAGTTTCTGCAGCTTGCCTCCTGCTCTGCAGCCTGCTTCTAACAGGCCATGGACCAGTCCTGGTCTGTGGCCCAGGGAATTGGAGACCCCAATCTATGGCTTTCTGTGTACTGTACAGCCTACCACAGATACTAGCCAGCTAAATATTCACAAAGCAGACCCTGCGACACTATTTTTATTTACCAAGAAATCTTGACTCTAACAAAGCTGTTCCCTTTTCACAGGCTGATGTCAGTGTGTCTCATTCCGGGGAGAATTGCAGCCCCCAGATGGAAGCTGCTCTGACCAAGAATACTGTGGACATTGCAGAAGGCCTGGAACAAGTCCAGATGGGAAGCTTCCCTGGAACCATTTTAGAAAATTCTCCATCTCCTAGTGAAAGAAACAGACAAGGAAATTCAGGTAACCTCCCTAGCCCCCATTCATGTAGATCTTCACAAAATACTGTTCCCCTAAATACGTTTACAATGTATATTTGGTGGTCCTTTTATCACTGCTTTCTGGGCCATGAAGTACTTTCAATGGCAATGTTTTTATCTCTGAAACATTAGAATTTAGCCTTAGGCCTTCATTATGTGAGTAAATAATGCTAACCGTTAATCTTCTTGTCAATGAAATAATTAAGACCATCTTAAAAAATAATAATAATAAAAAAAACCTGAGGCTTTATTGGGACCTAGGGCCAGACGTTAGGAATAGGGCTTGCGCAGTTCAAAGGAATTTAACTCTGAATTGTGATAACATCTTTCCAAGGTGTTACATGTAAATTTTCAGTGCCACAAATAGCACTCAAATGTAAGTTTTCTCAGCAAGGCAATTTACTTCTGTAGAAGGATTTGTCTCACAGATGGAGCAATGGTGAGCACACTCCTGAACAGGGAAGGGAGGGGAAGGGGTTCTTATCCCTGATGCAGATAGCCCCTAATGCTGTGTCATTCCCCAACTGGCTAGGGTTGGACAGCAAAGTCTAAGCTAATTCCGACTGGCTATTTTAAAGGGAGCAGGGACATGAGCCAGAGTGGCAGGATGAGCAGTTTGGTGGGAAGGAAGGTCACAGAACAGGTAACTAAAGGTGAGTCGGGTCAAAGCAGGTGACCAGGGGAACAGGTGTGAACTACTGATTAGAACTGGCAGGAAAGTTGTTTACTAAAACTAGGGGTCAGGGGGCAAAGAGAACCAGGAAGTTAAACTTTAAAATGGAGAGCAAAGAACAGGGGAGCTGAACATACTTTTACATTGGTTCTTTAAAGAGGATCTCAGAACTCATTGTACTTAACAATTTACAGGCTAAAACCTTTGAAGAGGAATTTATTATATCCTACAAAGGGAGAGTTATACATTTGCAAAAATAAATAAAACCTACAATAAACTTTTTCCTGTCTTTCTTCATCCAAATCATCAGCAAATATACAGTTAAACAATCTTTCAGAAATGTGGAAGAGGTAGTTGTGACATTGTGCTATCTAGAAACTATCTGTGGGTTTTCCTATGGTGTGTTTTCCCTTGACTTGAGTTACCCCCTGGTGTCGATTTAAGTCATCTTATTTATATTTGATGAGCCTTTGAAGCATATTGAACTTCACAGTCCTCAAGGAAAAGTACTCTGTTTTATTTCTGGGGCGGGGGAAAATTTCCACTCCCCTTCACTATTGTTTCTTCTCTAGGTACTTGGGATTGGAAAATTGATGGGTTCATACATGCAATTCTATTTCTTGAACTTTTCCTGGCACACTCGGGTTATCACAGATTTTATATTCGCCCTCTCCTTGCTATTCTGATGTAGTCAGCATGCCCTCTGAGAATGTCTAGGAGGCTGAGGAATGCAGCACAGGAACAGCCTCTCCCTCCGTTCTGCGTGTTAAATTGACACATACATTTTTTTTCCCAATAATTCTGTTGAGACAACTTCCCTCTGGAGAACAACATGAATGCTAAGTATCAGTGTTGGTCACAGAGTGTAGAGTGTCAGGCAGACAGGGACCTGGTGACCCAAGACAGTCAGTGCTGTCAGCTATGTGTGCAATGTTAAAGGTGGCATGAAGAGGGTGATAGGTAAGCAGAAGGGTGTTGAGAGAGAACAGCTAGGGAGGAAGTCAGCCACCAAAGCAGATGTTTCTAAAATGCAGCATCAAAGGGTGCTCAGGAAGCATCTTACCACAGAGTGAGTAGGACCTAGTATCCCGTACTTTCTATTTGTCCTCTGCCCAGTTTCCTCTCTACATCTCAGCCCTTGACATCCTCTTTTTTGCATCTCTGCTCTTCGAATCTGCAGAGTATATTTCTTTTTTCTTTTCTTTTTGAGACAGAATCTTGCTGTGTCACCTAGGCTGGAGTGCAGTAGTGTGATCTCAGCTCACTGCAACCTCCACCTCCCAGATTCAAGCAATTCTCCTGCCTCAGCCTCCCGAGTAGCTGGGATTACAGGCATGTGCCACCACTTCTGGCTAATTTTTGTATTTTTAGTAGAGACGGGGTTTCACCATGTTGGCCAGGCTGGTCTCGAACTCCTGACCTCAGGTGATCTACCTGCCTCAGCCTCCCAAAGTGTTGGGATTACAGGCATGAGCCACTGCGCCTGGCCGTGTGGAGCATATTTCTTAAGACTATCAAGTTTCACACTAACATTTCCCAGTGTTTCCTTTTTAAAAATCCTTTTTATTTTGTATATTCAGATTCAAGAAAAGGTGCAAAAAACAAAGAACGCCTATATTCTTTCACCCGGATTCCCAAAATGTTAACATTCTGCCACACTGAATTCTCATATCCCCCTTATGCAAGTATATTTTTCTGAGAATAAGTTACAGACATAATGCCACTTTGCTTTCACAAACTCCAGTGTATATTTCCTAAAAACAAGGACACTCTTTGCATAATCTCTGTACAAGGATCAAAATCAGGAAATTACTTTTCATGTAGTACTATTATCTCACCTATAGACCGCATATTCAAATTTTGTCAGTTGTCTCACAACTGTCCTTTATAAATGAACATCTGATTCAGGATCTATCTAACCCAGGATCACATGTTTAATTTAGTCATCATATGGTCTTTAGTCTTCTTTAATCTGAACAACTCCTCAGCTTTTCTTAGTCTTTTATGACCTTGATATTTTTGAAAAGTATAAAGCATTTATTTTGCAGAATGTTTATCAATTTGGGTTTGTTTGAGCTTTCCTCATGATTGGATTTGGGTTACGCTTTTTTTTTTTTTTTTTTTTTTTTTTTTTTTTTTTTTTTTTTTTTTTTTTTTTTTGAGATGGAGTCTTGTTTTGTCACCCAGGCTGGAATGCAGTGGCAATCTCGGCTCACTGCAACCTCCACCTCCCCAGTTCAAGCAATTCTCTCTGTCTCCGCCTCCTGACTAGCTGGGATTACAGGTGTCCGCCACCACACTCAACTAATTTTTATTTTTTTTTAAGTAGAGATGGGGTTTTGCGCTGTTGGCCAGGCTGGTCTTGAACTCCTGACCTCTGGTGATCTGCCCTCCTCAGCCCCCCAAAGTGCTGGGAATACAGGCGTGAGCCAGGGTTACACATTTTTAGCAAGAATACCAAAAATGATATTGTGTCTCTCTTAATACATCAAATTAGGAGGTATATTATATTCAACTCTTTATGTTTGTGGGAATTTTTGCTTTACAAACTTTTTTCTTAATCTAATAACATTTATAAATGCTTAAAATTCAATTAGGATTTTGAGTCACAGCTAGAAAACCTTTCCCTACATGAAGGTTAAAGATGAATTCACCCATGTTTTTTTGCATAATTTTACTTTTTACACTTATGCTTATGAAGAATTTCCAAGAGCATCAGAAAATGCTAACATAAATGTTAGCTAGATAGGAAACAAAACTGTATGTTCAGTATGATGTCAGACAAAAATAAAATAACCTTATGATGTCAAACTTATGAAAATAAAATTTTGTATATTAACAGTGGTGATCTCTAGGTGGTGAAAATATCAGCATTATTACAATCTTTTACTAGTTTCGATATTTTTAAAATTTACTCCAGTAACTATACATTATTATTTTTCTATTCAAAAAGAAGCACAACGTGGTTTTTAAACATTTCCTAATATTCTCCAATGTCCCAAGAAAGCATGAAAATTAGTTGAAGTGACTGACATATTCCAGGAATCTCTGTATAAGTTGGCTGCTCTAAATACCAAGCCAAATACTTTAGAGAAGTCTAAAAAGAATGAATTAGAATGATTACAATAATTTTATTATGTTAGTGACAGATGTCAAACATAGCATTCCTTTTAGGAACATCCTGGGAGAGAAACAAACCTCTGAGAGTGGATCCACTTACATGATATATTTGTGAGGAGAACAGTGGGACAGTTGAGAGCAGGAGTATCGGAGCCAAGCAGATGAGGATTTAGTCCTTGGTAACACACGTGCCACCTGTGTCACCTTAAGCACGTCAATTAGCTTCTCTCACATGGGATAGGGCCGGGTGCAGTGGCTCACGCCTGTAATCCCAGCACTTTGGGAGGCCAAGGTGGGCAGATCACAACGTCAAGAGATCGAGACCATCCTGGCCGACATGGTGAAACCCCGTCTCTACTAAAAATACAAAAATTAGCCAGGGGTGGTGGTGCGTGGCTGTAATCTCAGCTAGTGAGGAGGCTGAGGCAGGAGAATTGCTTGAACCCAGCAGGCAGAGGTTGCAGTGAGGCAGAGATCGCACCACTGCACTCCAGCCTGGCAACAGAGCAAGACTCTGTCTCAATCAATAGATCCATCAATCAATAAGATAGGGTTAATATCACTCTCAGAGTTGATGTTTGCATTTGATATCATACAGTGTATCAAGTACTTAATATAGTGCAGGTGCTTAAGTGCTCATTAAATAATTATTATTCTTTTGACCTTTCCAGACAAGGCCACCTTCTAACCAAAACAATCATTTTAATTCCTTGAAGGGGATTCACTGCTCACCTTGTCGTTGAAATTTTCTCCATTGTTTCAAGTTCCTGGTTGACCTCCCCATATGACATGTTTTACTACCCTGTGCCAAAACTGTACAGAACAAAATGAGTAGCAGCTCTATTTCAAACACTTGCAAGCATAGAAAACAGCACTGGATAGTTACTGGGATAAGGGGAAAACCGTTCGAGTTACTTGCAGTGGCCAATCCTAGAAACCTCTTACACCACAGAGGTTAAAATGCTGAAGTGAGAGACATCTGGGGTGTGTGTGTGTGTGTGTGTGTGTGCACGCACGTGTGTGTTATCTTCCCAGCACAAATTCATGAAAGCTGTCATTGTTAACCATTGAGATTAGAAATTTTTTCTGGGTACAGTGGCTTATACCTGTAATCCCAGCACTTCAGGAGGCCAAGGCAGGTGGATCACCTGAGGTCAGGAGTTCGAGACCAACCTGGCCAACATGGTAAAACCCCTTCTTTACTAAAAATACAAAAATCAGCTGGGCATGGTGGTAGGAGCTTGTAGTCCCAGCTACTTGGGAGGCCAAGGCAGGATAATGGCTTGAACCTGGGAGGCAGAGTTTGCAGTGAGCTAAGATGTCACCATTGCACTCCAGCCTGGGTGACAGGAGTGAAACAAAGAAGGAAGGAAGGAAAGGAAGGAAGGAGAGAGAAAGGGAGAAAAAGGAAAGAAAGAAAGAAAGAGAAAGAAAGGGAGAAAGAAGAGAGAGAAAGAAAAGAAAGAGAAAGAAGAAACAAAGGAAAGAAAGAAAGGGAGGGAGGAAGGAAGGAGGAAGGAAGGAAGAAATTTTCATAGGAAGATGCCATCCACTAAGTGGAATGGACTTGGTTACTCTCAGGACTTCCTGAGGATTACTGCATAGACGATAGCTCATTTCTCAAGACTTCGCATTGCACTGTTACTGACAGGAAAAGCAAAACTGTCTTTGGCCCAACAGGCCAGTGCCCTTTATTTTATAACGTGATGGCATAAACGTGACTGCCTATTTGCTTATTTATATAATTGAATGATTTGTAATGGGAGAGCCTCTCTCATTAGTGTGGCTCATAAAGACTCCCCTCTAAACTGTTGCAGTGCTCATTTTTAGAATCACGAATGAATATTTAGCTGATATCACTCTAACTCCAATTCTGATTTGGTTCAGACTCTTTTCAAAAAGGCATTCTTTCACTTATGTAGACTTAGCAGATGGCGTAATTATAAACTTAGGGTTGCAGAACTAGAAGTCTCTTGGCAACATCACACTGTTTATCCTTTGTATACAAAGCATGGAAACCGAACCACAACTCAAAGAATCACCAAAAGAATATCTGATTCTTAGCTGTGGTTTAGCTTCAGAATTAGCCCAGCAAACCAATGCTGTCCTACCCAAGTGTGTAAGTGTTGTTACAATAGAACTTTTTGTTATCTTAATATGTGATCTGCTAAGTAAATAGCATGTTAAGTTGATGTGTATACTCTGTAAGGACATGAAGAATTTAAACTTCAAAGAATTACAAAGACATAATAGAAATGTATTAAGTGTTGAAACTAAGATCTAATTAAGTAGCATGCTTTATAAGATCTAATTAAGTAGCACGGTTTATAAATTTCAATCAAATTTAACATTTGATTGAAAAAATCTTCATTCTTAAATTTTGCTTTCTTTTTTCTTTTCTTCTTTTTTGTTAGACCTAGTGACCAATGGATTAACCAATAAACCCCAACCCCTAGAGATTCCAGAGCGACAGAAGTCATCAGATATCCTGGAGGAACTAATTGTTCAAGGAATAATACAAAGCAAAGTATTTAGAAATGGAGAATCATATGATGTCATGGCAAGTAATTTTTTAATTAACATTAGCTTATAGTTAAAAGTAACAGTAAAGTATGATTGATCATGAGTCATTATTCCCAGCATATGCAAGTTACAATACGAATGACAGCATTTATTTAAGTCAGATTTTTCTCTCTTAAGATCCCCCCACACCTCTGCGCACCATCTCATATGGTTTGATTCTGTTCTTGAATTGTAATCCTCAGGTGTCAAGGGCGGGACCAGGTAGAGGTTATTGAATCAGGAAGTGGTTTCCCCTTGCTGTTCTCTTTTGAGTGAGTCTCAAAAATCTGGTGGTTTTATAAGTGTCTGGCATTTCCCCTGCTTGTACTCACTCTCTCCTGCCGCCTTGTGAAGAGGTGCCTTCTACCATGACTGTAAGTTTCCTAAGGCCTTCCCAGTCATACAGAGCAATTAAACCTCTTTTCTTTATAAATTACCCAGTCTCTGGTATTTCCTTATAGCAATTTGAGGACTGACTAATACACTATCCTTCTCTGTGGACTCAGGAACTGCTCTAATTATTAATGATTAATTAATCCAGTAAAACATATATTGGGTTTTCCTAAATTTGAGAAATAATAGGCCCTACCAAATAACATTCTTTAATTCTTTCAACAATTTTTCTTGAACACTGCCTATGTAATAGGCATTGTGCAGGTCATTAGAAATGAGAAACTGAATTCTGATTTATTCAATAAGGAAATAGGCCTGATCAGTGTTTTAGGTAATGGATATGCTAATTACCCTGACTTGATCATTATACATGTATCAAAACATCATACTGTACCCTATAAATATGTACAATTATATGTCAATTAAAAATAAGGTAAAACTTTAAAAAAGAAAATAAATAGGCCTAAATGCCAAAGCTAAAACACATATGGCTATACATTTATCCACATGCACACCCCAAAATCAAACATGAGGAATTAAGTAGAATTCTAGAAATTACTGTACTATTATTTTTGTTTGTTGATTTATCTTGATTGATCTGTCACACAGTTTTTCCTCAGCATAAATAATGTTTTTACTCTGATTTTAACTAGCTTGGCTAAATCGAGAGTTCTAAATTTTTTTTATTTTTTGAGACAGATTCTTGCTCTGTTGCCCAGGCTAGAGTGCAGTGGCACAATCTCAGCTTATTGCAACCTCCGCCTCCCGGGTTCAAGCAGTTCCCCTGCCTCAGTCTTCTGAGTAGTTGGGATTACAGACATGTGTCACCACGCCCAGCTAATTTTTGTATTTTTAGTAGAGACAGGGTTTCACCATGTTGCCCAGCCTGGTCTTGATCTCCTGACCTCAGGTGATTGCCCACCTAGGCCTCCTGAAGTGCTGGGATTACAGGCGTGAGCTACTCCATTGGCCGAGTTGTAAATTTTAAAATAAGTTCTGTATAAACTGGTGAAGAAGATAGCAGATTTAGTTGTTGCTGTTATTTTGTTTTCTTGTTTGGGTTTTTTTGGTTTTTGTTTTTTAAAGCCAATGCTCCTAGGCATGACCACTAGTCCTTGAAGTATAGGCAGAAGAGAGGTGAAAAAAAGAATCAACAGTGAAAAGAAGCAAGAGAAAAAATGAATGAAAAAGAAAAGAAAGAAAAGGAAATGGCAGGAATAGAGACCAGAAATTACCCCAAAGGCTCCTTAATGGATGTCCATCCCTGTGTTGTAGGGAAAACAGTCCATTAAGAATTAGAAACTCATTATTTAAATCAAATTCGCCACCTCGACTGAGTCATTTAGTGTTTGAATAAAGTTAATTTCCTTCCTTTTGTATAGGGAATGTTGAGAACTCATGAATAAAAGCCAAAGTGGAATTTTCTTTTGAAAAAGGAAAATAAATCCTGCAGAAAGTATTTGGGGGAAAGGAAAGGAGATTGCCAAACCTTGTGAATAACATTATCAGGCTGCCAATAATAAGAGGATGTGAGGGGCAGGGGAAAAGGAAGGTAAAAATGAATCATATAATGAAAAGATAATGCCAGCATAATGACAATTTACGTTTGCACAATGCTATCATGATACAAGGCATTTTGGAGTGCCTTATCTTATTTGAAAGTACTAAAAGAAGGATAGGTTTTTAATACCAAAGGGAAGAGGAAAATTTTTTTTTTCTAGCTGTAGGTGAGTCTCTAGGGGTCAGAGAAAAAGAAGGCATGTCAAAAGGAAAAAATAAAACAAGTCCGAGGGGAGACAGAGAGATTATGGAAACATCCAGTAGCTAAGCAATGTCTTCTTAAGAGAAATGCTATAGACACCTTGATGTATACATACATACGCCAGTAGAAATCACATTAAAACATTCTCTGATTCAGTTGCCAGCGATGAATGAGTTCTGACCTAGACCTTGCAAGGGAGCCTGCAAATTTAATTAATATAAACTACCTTGTGAAAGAGATGCACCTTTTAAAAAATAACTATGGCCTGGACTTTTAGTAACATCATTAAGTGAACCAAAGATGAAGACTACTTTTCATATTATAACGGCATAGAATGGTTGTTGAGAACATTCTCGAAAGCATTTAAATGTGGCAGGCTGTCAGAATAGCGCAATTCTTTTTTTTTTTTTTTTTTTTTTTTTGGCTTTGGTATTAGGCGAAGATATCCCAACATAAGCCAGTCTTGCAACAGAACAGGCAGCAACACACACCTAGAACAGTGGTCCTTAACCTACCTGTACACCACCTGGGGTTATTTTAGACTTCCCAGTGTCTAGATCCCACTTCCGACCACACAGCCTGGGCGTGTGACTCTGCTTTCACTGTTCTGAAAGCTCCCAGGCAATTCTTTTCGGCAGCCCTGGTTGAGAACTACTGCCCTGAAGCTTCACCAAAACTGTCCACAAAGCTCTCAAAGTCATTACCAAAGCTGGGAAGGGTTAAAGCTTTTGAAATCATTCCTGATTCCCTATTCATTGTGAAGGAGAATTCTGAAATATTCCTGAAAATATACCATTTCAGGAATAGGAACTAAGATTATACTCAGGAAGCCTAAGGAAATAAAAAAGAGATGCAATTTCTGTGTCACAGATAAAACCTTGCAATTCAGGGGTAGCTGAGAACATATGTGTGTCAGACACCAGGTGTCTTGCATATTTTGGGAAGAGTTATGAGGCCAATGTAAAAGGATGAGACTGAATACTGAAGGACTGAGAGGGGAACCATATTAAGAATAGAAATATTATTAGATAATATTAATTATTAATAATATTAATACCTTGAACTATCTAATATTTAATAAGTTTTTTGAAACCCACACCTGATAAAATTGGCTAAAAACAAAATAAGAAGTCAAGGGAAGCAAAAAAGGGATGGTCAAAAAAAAATATTATGATGTCAGCAGTTACTAAAATGTGGTGATTCTTAACAGACATGTAAATATGATTTCTTCATTGCTCTAGGGAAAAACATTCTTCTAAATAAAATATTACGGGAAAAATAGAATACATGTGAAAATGCTTTGAGTTTCATGCTCTACCAACTGAACCATGCAGCCAAGGAGAATAGTTTAAAAATAAGACTTCTTATGTGGGCCAATAGTGTATTTAAATACAAGGGCATTTCAGATGTAGATCTGGCAGCTCCTTAGCCAGGTCATTATCTTTCATTGAGTTATTTAGAGTGAAATTGCATAAAGGATGTTGAAAATTTGAGGGTTCACCTTCATGAAGCTCCCTCTTCTAAATCAGGGGCATCCCCCGAAAGCCAGTGTCTCCCTAGAGGTCCAGGGGAGGATCTGTGTCCACCACAGAAACGCTTTGTCTTTTTTCTTAATTTTTATCATAAGCTTGCTGGTAAATACCGTAGTAATTCCATAGTGCTCTCTGGATAACCAGCTTTCAAGAATGTTTATGCTAGAATATTTTATGTTTACTTAAAAGTTAAAATCGGGCCAGGCACGGTGGCGCATGCCTATAATCCCAGCACTTTGGGAGACCAAGACAAGCAGATGGCTTGAGCCCAGGAGTTCAAGATCACTCTGGGCAACATGGTAAAACCTCATCTCTACAAAAATAAAATTATAAAAAATTAGCGGGGCATGGC